CACATTTTGGGGATGCGTGTAGGCCGTGGGCCACGTAACCAACCATCAATGAATCATGGAATTAACAATGAGAAACATGCAATTTTTTATTTATTTATTCATTTATTCAATATATTTCAATGTGTATTGCAAATAACAGACATATTTGACATTAAATCACTGTTTCACACAAGGTCAGACCTTGTTAACGATTTGATTGGTTAGATTCATTTTGACTTTGATATAACAGTGTGGATATAACGGGTCTCGATATCAAAATAGGCAGCAATAATCTGTGGGCCACAACGACAGTGACAAGAGCAAACGAAGCATTTGGTCGCAGGCCGCATTTCCTTCAAATTTTACATGACGCCACAGGCTGTAGGTTGCACAGGCCTGGTATATAGAATGAATAACTTACCAAGGAGTAGTATGACTACACCAAAGGCAATACTACGAGCTATCCAGGGGTTGGTCTGACCTATTAATTCCATGATTGATTCCCCAAAACCCATCACTGACAGGGAACAGCTTACAGCCTGGAAGGAGAAACAAGAAAATTATCATGGGTAATAAAAAAAGAAGTGTAGGTGCCAGCCTCCAAGTACAGGGGGTGGGGGTAAGATGGGTACAGATAGGGGGCAGAATGATTTAATGGGTGGGTGGGGATTTGGTAGAAGTGCTGAAGAACTGCCATATCGGCAAGCCTTTCATTGATATGAGGGAGCTATGTCCCCCGAAAATTAAAATAACAAAATAGGATTGATGCATTCGGACACATTTGTTAGGGGCAAAATCATCTTTTGAAATTTTTAAGAATTGCGATGGGGCTACAATCTGGGAGAATTTTGTTTTTATGGGAATTCTATTCTCTTATAACTGTTAAACAGACATGATTTGCTCAAAAGTCGTAGATGTCAAAATACTTACCTGAGCAAAACAATAGACTATTCCAATACTGCCTCCAATTCTCCCCCCTAATACGTGTGAAATAAGAAAATAGACTCCTCCTCCTTCCATTCGACATCTTTCACAGACTCCAATAGCACTAAGAGCTACGATTAATACCACTGATACAGATAGAAACACAGTAACAATAGATAAACCTATACCAGCATTACCCTGTAACAATAAAATATTATTATTATCTCCCCTTAATAGATAGAAATACAGTAACAATAGATAAACCTATACCAGCATTACCCTGTAACAATAAAATAATTAGTTAAATGATAATTCTGAGCCACACAATACTTAAAGATAGCTTGCAAGGTAACATACGCCCACTACCAGCTGTCAGAAATAATAACAAATCTTAATAATGAATTTTCAAATAATCTTAAAATCATCTATAAGTCAAGGCAAAAACCTGAAACAGTTCATAAAATCATCATCAAATTCAAACATGAACAATCGCTGTACATACAAGGGCAATAACTCTCAATTTCTAAATTGACCAAGATCTCATTTATATATATATTATATAGTTTCATCAAGATTGAATAAAAACTGTAGTCTCTATTGTGCCTGCGAACCGAATTTGACAAGTTTTTACTAAGTCGAGTGCAATAACTCCGAAAACCCTTCATCCAGTTGTTACCAATTACGAACTTGGGCAGACGGACTGCAAACAGGGGCGATGGCAATATACTTCCACATTTCCATGTGGGTGCATCAAAAACTTAATCAATAAATACCAGTACCTTTATTTAGCCTGATGATTAGCTAGTTAAATAAATTCATCCAATCAGCATGTAGAATTTATATATTTATGTAAGGTATATGAATGTTTATCTGCCGTAACGAATGATTTCCGCTTGTCTCAAATTCAAAACATTAAAAATATACGTTCAATATTAAAATAGGTCAGCCTTATTATACACAGTGTGATGTGTGTTTAAAACTATTATTATGTTTTGTTGTTTCTATGCATAAACGGACGTGAGTTTAGAAATTTCAATAAGATAAAATCTTAGAAATTGTTTGATATATATCAAGTATCGCATCAAAAAAAATTTTGACAATAATCAATAAATATGAAGATAGCTTTCTACCGTAAATGTTTCTAGGTGACGCTTATATACGCTGTATAAAACCAAAATTTCATGTTTTTTTACAAAAAGGACAACTTTGACAAATTAACATACTAACAATCTATATGCATATAAATGTAGCGTGGTTTACAATCAACTTTGTCATAATTAAGATAATCTAAAAGATGGGGCCTGGTTTGGTAACAACTTTGTCATAATTATAAAATTTCTCACTGACAACTTCTACATTTACTACAAATTCTTATTGTGAGATTATTTGTGGGACAGGGCAGGGTTCAATTTGAAAAATTGGTGATTGAAAAATTTGATGAGCAATTTATCATACAAAATTGTAGATTCGGCTAATCAAGTTAATTTTTGTTTTGCAATTTTGGTAGAAATTTAAATGTTCCAGTAGCAAACCTTTGAATAGATAATTTTAGGTGCAATATAGCCTATTTTGGTGCTGGTGTACCTGGTAACTTCATTTCAAATATAGAATTTGATTTGATTTGCTGTTCTTCGTGATAAATTTTAATTTTGGCTAATCAAGGTAATATTGGATAACAAAAGGATTCATTTTGAATTGCAAACTGCAATATGATAACGCTTAAATTGAAAACTGTAACGGGGCCCATGAGACAATATGAAGCTATCAACATTAGAAGCTACCAGTCTGACCTAAATAAAGATACTGGTTTGGCTTATAACACCCATATGGTTTTATTTAATATGCATAATTTATAATATATTCAAATTAAAACATTTTAACTGCGGGTATAAATAGTTATTATGATTCACAATGTAATGTTTAAATATCAGCCCACAGTGTCCTGCTTATACCCCACTTTATTTCAAATTAAAATATCATGGGCATTTCATCTTTAATTCATTGTATTAGATTAAATTAGATTAAAACTTTGATGTATAAATGAAAGGGGAAAATGCCAGTCTTTACTTCATATTGAATACAGCATAACATGGAAAAAACTCTGTTATTGGTACAGTGGAGCCTCGTTTATCTGCACCTTTCAGTTCCCGATAAAATCGTGCGGTTTAACAAATTTCTGGTTTATTGAAACAGTCCATGCCATAACTAGAGTTATGTTCCTTCCTGTCAAGAAACCTGTCAAGTGTCACGTACGCAACATGTGATAGACATTACATCGTGAAGATGTATAATTTCTCATTTCAATAACAAAGCATGATAATACCAATCAAACATTCCTTAAAATTACGATCGTTAATTTATAAACATAAATTTCGTGCCGTAACTTTGTAACATTACGAAAAAAGCGTGCGGATATCGGGGATTATCGGCAACCAGATAAACGCTGCTAGACTGTTGTATAAATGATTAGGGACAGTGCCTGTTTAACATGAAATAATCCCACTCAATATCAACTGTACTAAGATAAGAAAGTATATCTCACTTACCACAATCCATCCCATACGTAAAAAGATGACCACAGACAATATATTAATCAAACATGAGGTAAATACACCATCCCACGTACCAAATAATACAGGTGCTGATATAAAAAAGTTGGATTTCCACCATGGAATATCAGAAATTTCCTGAAAATATAAAAAATCAAACTTTTTAAAGATGGATTTCCTTGTTTTTTAGTGTCAAATTATGCAAACTAATTGATTAATTGGTGTTTCTAATGAATTATCATGTATTCTTAATCATACCACTATGTTCTTATCGCATATAAAATAAGTTTTAACCAATCATAAATGTTCATGTTTGTACAGTCTGGATAAACAAACAAGACATTTTGACCTTTCTTGATCGGTCACTCATCCGAATTCTGTTGGTAATTCTCCTCTAATTTAGCTAATAATGAATAATTTTAGACATGTGAGACAAACTGGTATTTTTCCAAGTCATTAGAACACCTCTACTTTCTATTCATATAAGTATAAGCATTTTCATTCTCATAAATGAAAAAAAGGAAACCCATCTTTAAAGGAGAAAGATTCCCTCAGACTGGATTGTAAAGGAGCAAATCAGTAAGAAAATGTTAATGTAAAAAATATCCCTCATATAAATTGAGATGGTGTTATGATCCATATTATTTATTAACAAATTTTAACCGTTTTTGTAAATTAAAACAAAATTCGAAACTTTTATTTAGGTGGATTTCACTCATTTGTGTTCACAATCTGAATTCTTACAGTAACATTATTCAAGTTTCTTTTAATTTCATTAGATATTATCTACATTATATATACACTGATATAATTATATTCATTTTTTAATGTATCTCCATTATGGGACTCCATCTGTGATAGTACATATTTTGATTTTATTTATAAAACAACTGTGATATACCAGGATTTGATATTATTGTATTATATTGTATTGTAGTATATAATAATATTTTATGTTGAATAAATATTTACAAGATTAAATAACAACACAAGGCAAGATGGTGTTGCCAGTCCTCCTTCTTAGCCGACTATGAAACAGAAAAATTGGACATAAGAATTCCTTTGATATATCTAATAGGATTGATTAAGTAAATTTAAATTGTGGTATTTAACTTACCTGGTCTTCTCTAAAAAGTTCGTTTTTATTTCCATAATCAGTGGTTTGATATGTTCCTTGTTCCAATGCATTCTGGGAATAACTTTTACCAGACGCCTGTTGTTGATCCGAACTTAATCCAAATCGACTCCAATCTGGTTCTTTACCCTTTGACCTCTTCGTTGGTCCACTGGTCATCAACCCTGACCTTTCACCTTGATCACCGTCTCCAAGGTCAGCCATCTTGAAACAGTATGACCTTGACCTTACAATCACTTAGTAACAATTTCAACTACTGTCTCATTTTAGTTCCTTGAAAATTATTTTTAATTTATTACTGCCAAATTATTGACATCATTGATAAGGGATTAAGATAATTAGCCACTCATTGTTAATTAGGATAACTAAAGACTCAAAAAGTTGTCAAATAAAAAATTCCTATTCACAATATCACCTGTTTTTCACTCTGTTAAAATCTGAAAAAGAGATAAACTATTGAGAATAAAAATGAATATTGAGAATATATATCATAGAAAAATGAAGACTAATCAGGAAGGAAAAGAGTTGCTTCAAGGAAAACTTGTCTTTGAGCAGCTGTCAAAATATTTAGTTGACATTAGGATTTTTCAAACCATGTTACAAAAAAGAAAAAAGATGAATTCCATTCAAACAAATGGCCTGAGGTAAGAGCTTGTTCCATGTTTAAATTGATTTGAAAGAGTTGAAAGAAACAGACCATCAATTAATGTAAATAAACAAGTAGGCTATATGAGTTCTTTAATCAATATTGATCTATTCTTAACTGGAGACATGGATTATCTTCTCTCCCCTGGCTGACCTGACTGATTGATTGGTTATTGATCACACCAAATCTGATTCAGTCACTGATCTCCTACTGCATGTAACTACTACACTTTCTCCTTATCCTAGAGACATCCCCCCTCCCCCCTTTCTTAGAAACAAACACCCCCTTCCCACACCACCTGACTAAAGACCTACAGAGTGATTGATTGATTATTGATTACACCAGAACTGATCATGATATTGATCTCCTACAACAGATAATCACATTTATAAACACCATACTGTAGACTGACACAGTGGTGGAGCCAGGTTTACGTCCGACTTCGATAGGGGGTGAGATATCTTAGATTGCCCGAGTCACTAACCTAGTTAATCTTTTAATAGCATTTAGTAAAGGTTTTGGATATAAGAAAACGTTGATGAAACGTTGCTCAAATAAAGTTGGTAATTGTAATCCATAAGAATGGTTTTATTATTACTAACTTAGTTATGAGATTTTTGCCCGAAAAACTTGTTTTCGGTGCTGCGAGGTGGGGTGGCACTGACATTCATGTCTATGCGCCAATTACATCATAATAAATTTACAACATTATTTCAAAATTTCAGACATTCGTTAACATTAAACAAAGAACCATCAATGATAACAGTTAAGTCTCATGAGGATCTTGTCTACCAGCTGGTCCTTGGCATTGATCTTTCTAGGATTATATCTTCCAATTTACAACTGTGTTGACTGGAATAATGAGGAATGAGAAGACCTATTTAATGTCACAACACTTTCACACATCCTAATTAGAACCCACAACCACCATTGTTCAATGTCACCAAGGAAATTCTGTCGTGTAAAGATTTTAACAATCTAACTGATTGCGCTACAACCTGTCATGTTTCCAATTGTGGTGAATGTATTTCATAAAACTACCAGCTATAAATATTAAGGCATTGCAAGTCAAGTGTTTCTGAGATAATGATGGAAATTAATGATAGAAGCCATGAAAGATATTTCAATCTAATGTTTAAATGTCACCAATAACTATAGTAATTACTGGGTGCTGCCAATCATGTTATGTTTTAAATAGAGTAATAGAAAAGAGATTTTCGCAAATCGAAAATAAAATATCATTCATAGAAGAAGACCAGAAGGCAGTTGGGTTTGAGTTTAACAAATATGAAGAAAGATTACGTGATCTGGAGCCACAGTTGAAAAACAAAGACAGGCAAATGAGTGAGCTTTATAATCTAGCAAATGATAACGAACAATATTCTCGGAAATCTCACATCCGTATTGTGTGCTGCCAATCATGCTATGTTATGTTATATATAAAAATAAAGACATTATCTCCAAAGGTGTAAAGCCTTGTTTTGTAGACTACCACACGATATACTGACATATTAATTCAGGCTGTGCAACATTTCCGCAATGGCAGGCCACATCTGGGGGATGCGAGTAGGCCGTGGGCCACGTAACTAACTATCAACGAATCATGAAATTAACAATGAGAAACATGCAATTTTTTAAAGTCATTTACAAGAAGGTATATATATATATATATCTGATATATTGTGTCAGATCTAATGGATACCATGTTCACAACTGGACGATAGATATTTTGAAAGATTGAATTTTCCGTCTCATATTACAAACATTCAAAATAAAATGTTAAATTTCATGCCAGATATTAGTTCTGGTATAAGTGAATCAATATAAATAGTTGATATATCATCACAGGAAAGCTAAGCAGGCTACATCAATTACCTAATTGAGATGATTATTGATGACAGATTTCTACTACAATTTAGAAATTTGATAATTGATATCAAAACAATGAATCCCTTGCGACTAAATCATTTCTTTTCGATTATTTTACCACTACATATAATTAAATATCGTCCAAATGCAATCATTATCGTGACAGCAATAAATTGTCACGAATTCTTCATCGATTAACACCTAGTATAATATTCATCAATAAATATTCACTCGTAAAAATCACCAAATCTGTGAAGAAAAATTGTCACTTTTTTCTTTAAGCCCATAATGCTAGTTGTATCGCACTGTGGTATGATTGGCAATACCCAGCACTGCAAGATATATCGGGCAATAGTCATCATTCATAATAAGATCAAACCAGTGAAATTAAATGATGAAAAATAATACTTCATATCAAAATAACATGGAAAACAAGAGTTGAAACTATGGCTATTGTCTAATGTCCACAAGAAAACTCTTCAACAACATCTCGATTTGTGTAAGTATAAGAAACATCAATCTATCAATAACAGCACACAATCCTTGGTCTACCTCTACAATATGTTAGATAACTATACCATGTTCCAACCTATACATACTGTTCTAACTAGACGCAAGCTACTGAGTTTAATAATATTAAATAAGGCGACAAACTCATAGAATATTTAGAAGAACTATCAACTAATTTGACAGAATGTAAATAACACTATTAATAAATCAATATAAATAATACCAAACATTGGGACAGATTGCACATTAACATGGTGCAGAATTCACAAGAAATTTTCAAAAGAAGTTTGACACAGTCAAAACTACAGGCATGTGTCATGACATCATGTAATTAAACATATCCTAATTAGAGAGAAATTAACACAAGAGATTATAACATGTAACAAATATTAGAAACAAACCTTCTCTTAATATAACCATTCTCATTATACATATTCACCTTCTTACAACTTGTCTGATTGGTCAATATTCTAATAAGACACTTCTGATTGGTTCATTTACCATGAGTTATTGATTTTACTGTTCAATAAATCCCAGCTGTGTATCTGATGCCATGTGGCCATATGAATTGAAATTTTTCAATAGTCACCATGCATAATATAAACATTACATCAAAACAGGACAGAATTGTTGAAAATGGAATGAAATTTGTCACAGAAATGACTGTCAAATGTCTCCTCATAGTTTTCCCTGGATGAACAAGGCTTATGAATAATTAATGAGAAAAGAGCCGCAAGTACAAGCTTCCTACTTCGTACCGGCTACAATTCTAGTCTAATTATAGCATTGATTTTTTCTCAGGTCTCATAGAATTATCTGATAATGGAATAGTCCGAAACTTGTTTACTTACTGCAATATTAATCCCTGATAGAATTTACTAATGACAATTACTAATTCAAAAATTGCTGACTTATAAAGTATATTTTCCAGGTTAAAGGGACAAGTTCACCATCCATTTGACTAATCATACGTTACTCTCAGAAACAGGAATTCTTTAGCTAAGCAAATCAGTAATAGTGTTCACAGCTCACCATCAAAATTGGACCCTTCAAATCCATGTTTGTCCAGAATTATCCATGTTTGAATATTAAAAAGAAGACTTATCTTTTCTTGAGACACTGCTATATAGAAAAGGCATATATAGAAATAGAAACAGAACTTCCTAGTTCAAGGTATTTTTGAAGAAATTTTCATTCATTTCTAGTAATTAATAAATTAAATACTAAGTGCTCTAAAACTTTGAATATTTATAAGTAACTAACTGACATATGGTAATAACAAAAATACAGTCTACATGTTTTAAATGACAGTTTAGTTCTCCAAAACTTGTTTTCCCATCTACTGACAAAGAGAAAAAGTCAGTAAGTTTCAGACTAATCAAGTGGTGATTAACACTGATCAAAGCTGTTGTCAACTAGAAGTAATAGTAGTAGGAGTAGGCCTAGTTATAAATATAACAATACAGGGACCATATGGGGAAATTCTTACTTCACATTTTGACCCAATTCCTTAACAAAATTTTTAATGACAATTGTTAACCAATCAGAGAATCTATTTCACATATTTGTAATCTATGATCTTTTGCTCAACAAAAATGAAACAGTAAATTACCAACTTGACCTACTCTCTAACAACTGTGATGTCTACATTTAATTATTCCAATTATTTCACGAATATTAAAGTGATACTACGTCTTAGAATTAACATAAAATTGAAGAATTTTAAGCTTGGCGAATAAGAGCCAGTAGATATACCGGGTGTCATAAATAACATAACGGGATCCTTATATAACCCAATAAATCCAAAAAACTTAGTAATTATCCATAAATATGCAATTAACTATTGAAAAACGCTTCATATCAAGATAATGCTTTTCAATAATTACTAAGTTTTATGAATTTTATGAATTTTCCAGATTTTACAGGGATTCTGCTGTAACTTTATGACACCAGGAAAGTTCACTGATGAATATAGACTCATACTGACCATTTCGAGAACTTAAATTTTATGTTCATTGTAAGACTTAGTATCACTTTAAAAATTCAAATTTCACTTGTGTGTCATGGCCCTAGTATGTCTTAGATCAATATATGTAGATATATATAAATATATAAGGTTTAATAAATTGGGATTGAAAATTAACACATTTCCTTCTAAAATATTAAATGTCAGAATGGCCCATTCATAATACCTTACATACAGGTACTGTGTATGTTAAAGATCCAACAAGTTAGAAGTCAATAACGAATTAAGGGCTGATGCAGCTGTCCTGACAAAATGCCCCTCATTGCACACTACAGGGAAGTGGCATTTATAAATCCAACTTCAGAGCAGAAAGGAATGTTAAGTTTCAAATTCACCTACCTACATCAAAGTCAATAACCTAAGTGAAAGATTAACAGTGTAAAAATGTTGTTATTGAAATATACCGGTAAACATAGTTTTAACAACATAATATATTGATTCAAGGAAAGGTATTTGAATTCAAATTTAAACTCAACCTCTATTTCAAAACAATATTTATTATGTCAAATCAATATTCTTTGGGAATAAATACATTTTAGGGAATTCAATAAGTCAGCTAATTTTGATTTTAACTTCAAGTAGGACTGGGTATTGATTACCAATTTGAGATCGATTATCGACGGCATGCTTATAGATCAAGAATCAATTAATAATCGAAATATTAAAATTAAGAAATCTTCTAAATACTAAATGAACACATGTTTAAATATTTAATTTCATGGGTTATTTTTGTATCATTAAATATATGGTAATATAAATATTCATTGCTGAGATTGGTTTTTACAGTTTATTATGTAAGTTATGGAAAACTTTGTGACAGGTATACTGGAGAAAATATTACTTAGACATTTATCAATTTAACGAGTATGAAATCCTTGGGTAACCCAATTTTAAATTCCTAGTGAGCATATTCAATTACTTTGATTATTTCACCCAATCCTCTAACTACAAGTTCTAAAAATCAAAAAATAATTTGCAAATCAGCACCCCCATAAATAATGATAACAATTAATGATTTCATAGTGACTTACTGTTATAAATAGGCCTTGATCGAAAATTGAAACTTACTTTTTGATTTTGAAACCAAGGGAACAATTTTGATCAACTTGAGCCCCTTCACAATAGTTATTCTTGCTTGAGCTTGTGTCACTAGACTTGCCATCCAAACCTATTTGATTCAGTGTTATTATACCTACACTCATTTTGGACTTATGAATGTCCAAGCTAAAAACCCATGAAATGCATGTCCAATAATAATATTATTGACTAGCATATTGAATAATATCAGAGCTGACACTGTCGGTGGACAGTGAGATGTCGTCTGGTACAAGGCATTGAGTCATTGACAAGATTGAATGAAGCCAGCAGCAGTGGCGGTGAGGTTTCTCTATTCTAGTGGAATTTCTACCTTACATCAAATGTTGCTTTTCTATCATAAATTGGATATGATCTTCTTTAAATCTGAAACAGTAACACTTACCACAATCCAAACTCCTATTCTACGACAATACGACCTTTATATTGTAACGTAAATCACTAAATTCTTAATTTCTGCAATAATCGATATTAAAATTGTTTACCAAAGGGAGATAAGTGTGAAAACAGGAGTGGTTTCCCCTTCAACAAACGGTGTACAGTATCATTTTTGACACTATGAAATTTAGCTTCTATATTTCACTGTGCAGGTGATTTCATTTCCATTTTATGATATTTCTCAAAATACATATAATAAATAGACTTAAATATAATTAAAGAAGAAATAAAAAGCGTTAGATTTATTTGACAATAATTATTTTCGCAATAATTTCCTGCAGGGCTTTATTGTATGGAATGAAATTTACTTACACCGCTTAAACTTAAACCAATCAGCGTCCACGTCGTGGGGATACCGGTTCCTGTTTTTAAGAAGATATTTACTTTTTGACAAAAATTCTAAGAAAATCAGGTTTGTTTGGATTTTGGCACTTTCATTTTACCGGAAGAAACGCCCCAGAATTGACTACCCATGCTTATATGTCTTTGCAGTTTTGTGATCTATCTGTTTCGGTGAAAATCACATCGCAAGCGACTACCTGTATTTGCTGATGTGGCATCTCCAAGCCTGACTTGTTGTACCGGACAGCCTCTACAATCAGGCCAAAACAATCTCTTTATAAATATATAAAAGTTATTTAATTAAATTGTATTCCTTTGCATAGGTCTACTTCCATTATTGAATAGCTTACTTTAAACACTAAATGATGCATATTGTCAAAAAAGCAGACTAAACTTCCATTACTCAACAAACAAGGTTGATTGCTTGCATGTTTTCACCTCAGAATAAGTCAGTTCGGAACTGTATGTACGTCTTTAGACAAACAATGTTGATTTACAATGGCCAGCAATGGAAAGAAATCTATTACAAAGAAAGGGTTTACTACATATACAATTGTCAAACTAATGATACAAGCTGTGAACTGGGCAAACCTGCTTTCAACAACATTCTAAATGATAAATGGATAACTGTAAATGTAGTTAACTCTTTATACTTACATCGCTGACCATAAACAGCCATAGAAAATCAATGTTGTTTATCCTGAGGTGGAAGAAGGGAATAATGAGAGTGTTGCACATAGGGCCGGAATTGACTTATATAGAGTGCTCAGATTTAGAGTGAGCTCTGAATTGAAATTTTGCATGAGAAATATAACACAATATATACACAAATATTTTTTATTGTGACAATTGTTTGTCTTTTCATCAACCCAAAGACTCTTAAGAGAATAGCACTTTGGTATTGATTGACAAAGTCTCATTGACCATTCTGTAAACTTTGTGGTCAGACAGCAAATTACTATTCTACTGAAAAAGGCCACAAATTGTTGCAGCTACAATGCTCCATAGTTCAGTAGTTGAAGCAGTAGAAGATGATCTTTTATCAGTAATGTTTGAGGGCAAAATGTTGTTTTCATTTCAACTGTATATTTTACATTTCAGGACAGAAATCAAGATGAAAACGTCAAGTGCACCATTTGGGGCTGCTTGGCTCGTGAAAATGTCCCCACAGAAACAAGACACATTGTTGAAGTTAATGATTTTAACCATTGCCGCCATTTTGGGTAAGTTTCCTTCTATTCACCATCATTGCCAGCTGAGTAACTACACAAAAAGACATGAAAGACATTTATCATGGTTACACTTTCAATTACTTTTCAATAAAGAAACAACGTATGACTCTTACATGTAAATATTTGTTGAATTTTCTCAAAAGGGTGTGATGTTTCAGCTAGACCATTAAATCATATTTAAAGGTTAAGAAAAGGCTTTAAATGGTTTGTTGAAATAATATTATAGCCTATATAAAAATTTGTCTAATAAAGTCGAGGTAGAGATTCAAAATGGCCGTGAACTACGTTCTTGTGTTTTATTTCCATGTAAGAGCCATACATACAATTAACACAAGATATCAACTGTAAGATGAATGATGACATTTGACGTAATCTATGACATTGATTTCTGTCAGTGGTTTCCATTTTCAAAGAAAGTCGCATTTGAATTTGTCTATAAGTCAACCTGGGCAATGATAACTTAGATGAAAACTGACTGATGGCTTTTTCATTTATGAAAATGAAAATGCTAATACTTATATGAATAGAAAGTAGAGGTATTCTAATGACTTTGAAAAATACCGTACCAGTTTGTCTCACATGTCCATAATTAATTCATAATTAGCTAAATTAGAAGAGAATTACCAGCAGAATTCCAATGAGTGACCGATCAAGAAAGGTCAAAAAGTCTTTGTTTGTTTGTGCAGACTGTATACCATAAGAACATAATTATATGATTAAGAATACATGATAATTCATTAGAAACACCAACTTATCAAATAGTTTGCTTAATTCGACACTAAAAATAAGGAAACACATCTTTAAATGCTCAGCTTTATGTCTTTATTTTGAACTGTTAATCTGTTTATTTCAGCTTTTTCCACCCGTTTATTTTCTGTACTGCAATTTGAAAGTGTTATTCATGAATTTGATCCTTATTTTAACTATCGTACTACCAAGTTTCTGGCTGAGAAAGGATTCTATAACTTCCATAACTGGTTTGATGACAGAGCTTGGTATCCTTTAGGTCGTATCATTGGTGGTACTATCTATCCAGGTAAGAATAAGATTTGAATTTGAAACCTTAATATTTTCATTTGAAGATTCCAAAGACAGGAATGGCACCTTATCTTGCTTTTATTAATATTAAATAATAGAACAGTCAATGAAAACAGTTGGGTAAGTTTGACATCTCTTTATCTTGCATTTTATTTGTTAAGAAATGAATTAGTGTAAGTATTTACTCTCTAACTTGACCGTGATGGGTTGAGTTGAGTTATTTCCCCTGTGAAATCTTTCTATCATTCTAATGCCTGTTTCCAAGTCAGCTTATTCAACATAATGTTCCTATGTCTGCGATTACATGTGTACAAATTTCAACGCATTCTCAACAAAAAAAAATGGACCCTGAGAACGAGAGCAAATCTTCATAATTTGATTGAATATTGAAAACGCTCAATATCAATTTTTGATATTTCAGGTTTAATGGTGACTTCAGCTATGATTTATAATTTTTTGAATTTTCTCCATATTACGATTGATGTACGTAATGTGTGTGTTTTTCTGGCTCCGTTGTTTGCCAGTTTTACTACCATTGTTACCTATATGTTTACTAAAGAATTGAAGGTAAGTGCAATATTTTTACTCTCTAGAGCTTTTTGTATGAAACATTATAGTCTTAAAGGGATTGTACAGGGGTTTCAGCTAGGGCTGGGTATTGATTACCAAATTTAGATGTATTATCGATGGCAGACTACCAATCAAAAATCGATTAATAATCGAATACTTCAATTGTGAAACCCTGTAAATACTAAATTAAAAACACGCCAAAATTCTTAATTTCATGAAAAATTTTTGATCGGATATTATAGTTTATTGTGGGTTTGTTTTCCACCCGAAGGACTTAGTTTTAGTTTAAGTGGAATTGCAAGAACCACAGATATATTGAAATTGTGCAAATCAACGCTGTCAGTGTCCCATATACACAAGAATTATGAATCCTAATGGATTATGTTGGGATGGCAATTCCTATGGGTTCTGGTTTTGGTAGGCTTATGCCCATGACGTACCAGGCTATATCTCATTGTCTAACATGATTTATCTCCCTTGTATTACAGGATGCTGGTGCTGGTCTAGTGGCTGCCTCTATGTTGGCTATTGTACCAGGCTATATCTCGAGATCTGTGGCAGGGTCGTATGATAATGAAGGTATCGCTATCTTCTGTATGTTGTTGACCTATACGTTGTGGGTCAAGGCTGCTAAGACAGGGTCAGTCTTCTGGGCATCTCTTTGTGCTCTTGCTTACTTTTACATGGTAAGTAAATATATGATTCATTTTCTGAACATTAATCTCTGTAATAAAAAGCATGAGATCATTTGAAACGATACGTAATTACATTCTACATACAGTGAAAACTCAATAAGATAAAATTGCGAAACAATATGAATATTATGAGTAGAATGTGGAACTTTGTCTGTTATCGACTTATATATATCCACTATAATGTGGTTTCTTTACCAAACATTTTCTGATGGTCAGTACATTTGACCTAGGCAAGTGTCTCTATAGAAGGGTATCTCCTAAAACTCCTAGGCCAGTGTTTCTATAGGAGAGTATTGTCTATTATAGCTAATACTTATGGCCTTGGCCAGTGCTATAGGAGTATGTCTTGTAATATCTATGTATTGTTACTATAGGTATCATCATGGGGAGGTTATGTATTTCTCATCAATCTAATTCCACTCCATGTTCTAGTTTTAATGATCACTGGTAGATTTTCTCACAGAATATATGTTGCTTACTCTTCTGTAAGTATTAATTTTTCTTTCTGAATGTTGGCGCCACCTTAGCTCCCAGTGCATATTTCATGAGCCAAAGCTGTTCGTTTAGTTAAGGGTAGATAGATACTTTGGTTATTGGAGAAAATTGAACCTGTGGTTCAAAACAAATTATGGAGTCAATGACTCATAACAGGAGATGCAAAATAATATCATCAGATCATGGATGGCCAGTGGAGTCACCTACAGAGAAAAATGGAAGCAAAACATCCAAATTGGTGTTTAAATAAGATTATGTGAAGTGAAAGGTTTGATCGCCAGGGAACTCAGAGACAGTTCCAGTGTTTAGGATATTGGAAAAAATAAAATTCCTGGTAAAGTATAATGATGATAATGTTGATGTGTATATATCTCTGTTTTCTATTATAGGTGTATTGTTTAGGAACTATACTATCCATGCAGATCGCTTTTGTTGGTTTCCAACCTGTCCAGTCTAGTGAGCACATGGCAGTAAGTATAGCTACAAACCAACAGAATAAATTCTCATATAATGTAGTATAATAGCTGCTTTCACTTCAGTGTTCAGGGGCCTTATTCTTAAAAACTTAACTGAAGATGATTTTAGTGTTCTTAATCATCTGATTGGTCAATCACTAAAATCGATTTTAAATTGAGTTTTTTTTCCAATCAGATAACTGTATTTCTTAAAATCTGGAATTTTATTTATGTTAAGTTTTGGAGAATAAGGCCCCCGGCGCATTTTTATTTACCATTGTTCTCCTGGGTAAAAGTTTGCTATGAAGTATTTTAGAATGTTGTCATTTCTATTCTCAGAGAGATTTCATTTGAATTGGATACAAATAAGCACAGACAACTGGAAACATTTTTTCTTGAGTTTAGGGTCAAGGGTCAGACAGCTGGTGGACATTATTAACGAAGCCGTACAGAATACATGCTTAATGACTCAGGCCACGTATTCTCAAAACGATCTTAGCCCTAATATGTCCTTGAATTAATGTTAGAAGATAAGAACCTAGGACATCCTAGCGCTAAGATGGTTTCGAGAATATGTGGCCTGGACATGCAGTTTTTATAAAAATGATAGTAGGTAAAGAAGCATCTATATATTTAATGCTTGTATAACACAGTATTTCTATCACTGATGTGATGACTATGTACCTATATGTATCTGTATAATTTGATTCTTTTTGGCATACACTGTGAGTTTTATTTTATGTTTTTTTCCAGGCTTTAGGTGTATTTGGACTGTGTCAGATCCACGCTTTTGTAGATTATCTACGCAGTAAGTTAACAACTGAACAGTTTAATCTGCTGTTTAAAAGTCTAGTGTTACTGTCTGGTTCTATAATGTTCGGTGCTGCTGCTATTGCTACAGCTCTTGGAAGTATCCTTTTCAGTATAACTCTATATTATACGTATTAAATTGACTAGCTTATCTCATACTGCCAACACATGTGTTTTTGGATATACAATCCTCATCATGACAACAGGTTTTAGGACTTTAGTGCTTAAAACAAGTTGACAAGGATTTGGAGGTTTTCAGATGAAAAACATACACTGTATCAACGAACAAATCAAAATGATTTTGCAAGATTAAAACAAGACTCAGTAAGTCTTTAGTAAGTGTTTACTGGAGTCTTGGTGCCAATGGAATTCGGAGACATGATTGAATTTTGGGGCCAGGTCTATTATGCTATACTGATGTGACTTCATTTGAATTTTAGAAAGTTTTATATATTTGTCTAATCATGATCCTTAACCACCTGTAAGAAATTTCACCCTGGACTGGTCGATTCTACTCTCTATTGGATCCTTCATATGCTAAAAATAACATCCCCATTATTGCCTCTGTTTCTGAACATCAACCTACAGCCTGGAGTTCATTTTATTTTGATCTTCAACTTCTAGTCTTTATGTTTCCTGGTAAGTTGATTTCTGTTTCATATTTGGTTTGATGCAGGTTTATATACAAATCAAGACTCTTTGTGCTAGAATGTGCTTACTTAAGATATCAAAAACTTAGGCTGATATCTTTTCTCTCATTGCACACTGCTGTGCTTAGTAAAGTTAAAGCAAGTTTGTCTTAAAAGTGTTGATGTAAAAGATCTTTGTTTGGTATAGACTGATGAGTGTGTTAGTTGACAAGGTTATACCATAACTCAATCATCGAACTTTTAATCATTCAGCTATTGAGCCCAACACTAAAACTATGTTGGATTTGAGCTCTCTTATGATAAGCACTGTGACAGGTTTGACTACTATTTTTCTGATAGTCCATTATAATATTTTATTTTTTAACTTTTATACTTCATTGCGTTACTTTTCATATACATGTACCTGTGTTTCATTTTTATTGTTTATTGGAAATCATTGTACTATTCTATGTTTGTATGATGCCCACAAAGGGCGTATTTATACAATAAATCTTATCTTATCTTATATGGCCAATACAGTTTTCTTGTATTTATATTTATATGTTATATATTTTCAGTTGGTTTATACTACTGTTTCTCCAAGTTAACTGATGCTAATATATTTATTATTATGTATGGTGTTACCAGTATATATTTCTCTGTAAGTTATCAATTTTATGAATTCAAATACTGTGGAAAAAGTGGAATTAAAGAAATTTTTAAATCTAAATCCCCCTCTCCTAAGTGAAAATATTCACTCACATCATTCAAGTTACATACTATTATCAAGAATACATACAAAAATTTGTCTTGCTAGCTCAATTTCAGCTATATTTATGGTAAAATTTAACATTCAGTTCCCTGTAATACTGAGGATGTTCAAAGTGTTGTCACTTCCAGGGTATGAAGGCTATTATAAAACATTCTTACAGATAGTTATGATCGAAAACATGACATCAGCATGGAAATGATAAGAATCTTAGCTTCTTTGAGCTTCCACCCTTTCTTCGTTTGTCAAATTGTATAAGAACCAGTAATCAGATTTTGATTTTGATTAGTGATACATATGGCTGAAATTGATCTCTATCCGCAGGTAATTGGTAAAGAAATATCTTAATTGACTATATCTTTAGCTATTTCATGAAAACTTTTCTCATTTGATTTTCAGGGTGTTATGGTACGTTTGATGTTGGTATTGGCCCCAGTAATGTGTATATTATCAGGTATTGGAGTATCAGCTGTTCTCTCTACCTATATGAAGAATCTTGACGTCTCCACTAAAAATAAAGACAAGAAAGCCAAGAAGACTGATAATACCTATCCTTTAAAAAATGAGGTAATTCTGTGTTTCTGGTTACTCAATGTATCTGACAAGTAGTGAGAGCAAACAGTCAATACATATATAACTGGTGATGTCAGTAAATAGCTAACATAGAAGCTACTAAAGCATGTCACTCTGATATTATGTCATGATGGATGCTAGTCTGTCTGTATCCCCATATTCTTGTATCCGAAAGCAGTACATGTATATGTTTCATTAGCCCAATCAGTAACAGAAATGTGGACTCAAAACTTGATTTTATTTAATATTCATTCTCTATTTTCAGATTGCTACAGGAGTTATAATGATCATGACATCATTTTTAATAATGTATACCTTCCATTGTACCTGGGTAACATCCGAGGCTTACAGTAGTCCGTCTATCGTACTGACAGCTAGAGGTGGAGACAATGGTAGAATTATCTTCGATGATTTCAGAGAGGCTTACTATTGGCTACGACAGAATACACATCATGTAAGTAAAAATATCAATAACTATAACGAAGCTTGAGATATCAACAGCTCTGCTCCTTTTTTTTGGGAGTTTAGAAGAACTATAATTTATAATAATTATTCTCTCACAGCAAAATTGGCTGATAGAAGACACATCACACAAGTGATTGACATGCTCGTGTAGGAATACATGGCTTATTTTCCTTCTACATTTTTCAAATTAACTTTGCAACTGATCAACTGTTCATGTTTTGTATTCCATCTTGAATTGACCAGAATTCGTGTGTCAATGTGGGTACTTCATTATGTCAGCTGATGAAACCAATATGATGCATAGAATTGTTACCTTAAGAATAAGTAAAGAGGTTTTGATTAATAACACAAAGTATCACCTTATCTACCAACCAACAACAACTTATCTCATGGTTGTCTCAGGTATTATATAGATATGTGTTTTTATTTGCAGGATGCTAAGATTATGTCTTGGTGGGATTATGGATATCAGATAACAGCTATAGCCAATAGAACAGTTCTAGTTGATAATAACACCTGGAATAATACACATATATCACGAGTTGGCCAGGTATGGAGACATTAAAAACACCCCTTATTTTGAAATGAACTTCTCCTACATAACACTGTATATTATTGATGCATGTCAAGATGAATCCAATTTAGGTTTTAGGGTTGAGAATACGATTATATCAAAAGTTTGTAGATTAGTGTCATTAAAAACACCCCTTATTGTGAAATGACCTTCTCTAAACATACACCGGACTGTTTATTATTGATGGATGTAAAAAAAAATCCAATAAATGGATTTGGGGTAAAACTTATCCCTATTCACTATTTGACATGTATGCAAGTCTAAATTTACATCAAAGTACAGCCTTGATTTGAAATGAACTTCTCTAACATTCATTAACACTGCATTTTATTGATTAGAAAAAAGAATTGTTAATAAAGAGTGAGTGATGCATAGAGTCCAAAGACACCATCAAATTTGAGCTCCTCTGGATAGACACTATGTTAGGTTGCCTAAATTATATTTTTCATATTAGAAATTTCAGTATAAAAATGTAGCAGAACTAATCTTGTTTTTTCTAGGCTATGGCATCACCAGAAGATAAAGCATATGAAATAATGAGAGAATTAGATGTAGATTATGTTTTAGTTATTTTTGGAGGGTTAACTGGTTATTCTTCAGATGGTAAGTTAACATGTCAGATTGGCTGGATTATTAACGGCATAATGGAAACAAAATTTTGCTCAGCACTTGAGTCCGACTTTCTTGTACAAGTGTTTCTGTGATTCTGTGTAGTTGGCTTCACAACACAGAACACCAGTTTAACTTCTTTAATTTGGTATCTTTGTCTTAGGGTGATATGAGAATAGAAATCCTGTAAAAAAAAGCACTGGCTTAGGTTATGAAGTTAGAACTCTATATTTAATATAACATGTTTGCTTTATAAACACACATTTTCACTTAGTGTTTAAAGGGTTAATTAATTTCTACTTCTGTTATAGATATCAATAAATTTTTATGGATGGTGAGAATTGGAGGTAGTACTGATCGTGGAGCTCATATAAAAGAATCAGATTATTTCACCCCCCAGGGCGAGTTCCGAGTTGATAAAGATGGGTCTCCCATCTTGTTAAATTGTTTAATGTATAAAATGTGCTATTATAGATTTGGTTCAGTTTATACTGAAGGAGGTAGGTTGATGATTTTTGATTTTCTCTATACTGTTCTGGGAGCCATGTTGGCTCAGTGAGTTAGGCGCTTGCTCGCTGACCTGAAGGTCCAGGGTTCAATCCTTGCATAGGTCGAGATGATACCTTCTGATTTTTCTAGCTACTTTCCCCCTGTCAGTGATGCAGGTAAGAGGGGCTGACATGGAAAAGGCTTCTAGTCATTTCAGTTGGAAATCGAAAAAGGGCAGGCTAATGCTGCTGTCCTGGAAAAATTTCCCTCATGGTCTTCATTAGCCCACATGGTGCAGTCCTAAATTGGGAGTCAGCTCCCTGATATATTAGAAGTTCAATTTAGCTTCTTGTTGCAAGAGGTGTGATACAGATATGGAAATGTTTAATTACGAAAGACTGATGACTCAGTAGAGTGTAGGAAGTGCTGGAGTAATCCCTTGTTAAACTTAATATCCTCATTAAAAATAAACTGCAACATTGCAAGATACAGAATTCTATGATACTTTACTAGATAGCCTGTTCCCTCACAAATTATGAAAAGTAGAAATGGAGAATGCTTTAGTCCTTTCAATCTGCCAGATAGATCAACAATGTTGCATTTGATTATCTTCTTCCAGGCAAACCTACAGGATATGATCGAGTAAGAAATACAGAAATTGGAAATAAAGATTTTGAATTAGAAGTTTTAGAAGAAGCTTATACCACCGAACATTGGCTGGTTCGAATTTATAAAGTTAAAGATTTAGAAAATCGTGGTGTTTAAAAAAATATTCTTTCATTTCTGACAAAATTTATTCAAAGACATGCCCATTGTCACTATTTAGTTTTTTGGTGAAAATTTGTAAAATTTGGTTACATTTGTTATAGTAGTTAATGCATTTATTATGTGGGAAGTGTTAGTTATTTGTACTCTTCAGAAGTACTTGATATCACTGTGCTTTTTATCTTAAATCTTAATTCTTAAAGATAAATGTATGGGCTGGTAGTATACCCATGATTGTTTAACTCGGACCTTATTCTTGAAAACTAAATTTAATACGATTTTAATTTTCCAGTCATCTGATTGGTCAATCACTAAAATCTATTTCTAATTAAGTTTTGTTATCCAATCAGATTACTGTATTTCTTAAAATATGAGTTTTGGAGACTTAAGGCCCCTGGTGTTATCTACAATTTTTACAAAATTTTGAGTTTGTAGGGTCATTTTTGCGAATTTTTCTTTGTCATACTTCATAATAATTTCTTTTGTCATTTGCCTCGTAAGCAGTAGATAAAAACTGATAAAAACAGTGCTAGCTTAACAAGAATTTTATAATTGGCTAATTTGAAACATCATTTGTTAGTGTTTTTGTTGTTATGACAATGGGCTGTCAGTTTCATGCATCAAAATATACAAAGGGATATAAAATAAACATTTTTATTATAAAACTCTGTGTCTTTTTTATTAACTCATTTTGTTATTTTTGTCATTTTTGATCCAAGCGTCTTGTTTTAATAATTACATCACCTACAATTGGATTAAGGATGTTCTATCAAAGTTTTTAAAGGAAGTTTTAGCTTGTCGGTCCAGTCCAACAAATGAGAAAACAAATAGATGTACATACGAAATGAGCTAAATGGCTATCTTGAATCATTGTCCAAACCACACCATACTTCCTCGACCATGTCAAAACCCGTATTCCTGATACGATGATCGCAATTATGAGGAAAGCGCAAATCAAAAGAATATTCTAAACATCTGGCCTGGTATATCATTCATTGACGTTAAGTATACATAATATCATCCAAAACTGTGGCCCATTATTAAACTCTTCAGCTTGTATAAACATACCACTGTAGTCTGTTTTTTTTTCTAGTGAGTTATCTGCCCATGCTGTTAGCTCCAGAGCTATGAAACAAACCAATTTGGTCTGTTTTTTTTACACAGAATTATCTGTCCTGCTGAAAGCATTATTTGAAATCTGTAATTTAGACACTTTCTTTACATTGATAAAGATCATGCGCTAGAAAATAACTGAAAAAAATCCGAGATTCCGAAGTTTACAAAACAAATATGACATAGATGTATTATTTTCTATTAAACACAAGGTTTAAGATCACCAGGTATATCTGGTTTGTTATCAGTGTAAACATACTCCAGTATTTTATATAGGGTAGGATCATGTTTACCTAGATAATGTCGAGACAGCAGATCACTAGAACATGCATGATGACCTCCACATCTAAAATAAAAGATAAGAAAGGGTGTTACAAAGCGGAGTAAAGGAGATTACTTCTAGCGTATAGCAAATTCTCTATGACTCAATATAATTGAAAATAGATAACAAATTTATTTCAATTAGATTGATTTTAACCAAGAATAACGCAAGTCTTTCAGTCGATCGGAGAGGTGCTTTTACGCAAACAAGATATTAACTGCTTTAGTGTTTTACAACAAAATTCCACCGGTAGTCATATTTGGTTCTCGAAATATCACTCGATTATTCCCATCGCCAACAAAATTTCTCGTATAAAGATTTCTTAACGTTGGATTCGAATCACTGTCTGTTTGGAGAGTTACACTACTCATGGTGACAAAAGAGGAGGATACTTATGTATTTTGTATCGACCTTAATTAATTACTACCTAGTTATCAATATGTCTTTGTCTGAATCAAGCGACGTATGCTAACGTTTATCTACTCCCGTGGAAAGATTTCAATGTACTTAAGATAGATCTTAGGACCGGATATTGGCAATAATTATAACTGTGTGAATTCGTCACGTTTTACTTATGAAAGGTCCTCACTATTTTCATTTCTTGCGATCAGCTACCTGGTTGGTTTGTAGGTAAATGAAAAATTAACGTCCGCTTCCAGCGTAAGCTAGTAGACTAACCTCCTCCTACCTTACCCAAACATTCTTCCAAGAGATCACGTATAACCAGCGGCGGAGCAATAAGTTAGAAATTCGGGCAACCTCAGGTATTTCGCCCCCCCCCCCCCCTCCCTTGGGACGTAAACCTGGCCCCGCCACTGCGTATAACTTACAAGTTCATTCCACCGGTAACATCAGTCCTAACAGTAGACATAAAGAATGCAGCAGTTGCCTCAGCCCAATATTCTCCATTAGTCGCCATAGCGTATTGATGGTTGTTCCACAGGTTACTTTGTTTAGCATGGTTGTAGGCTGCTACAATCTATAACATAATTAGATTAAACTATTGATAAAACACACGTTTAGTTTGTAGGTTGACGGCTGGTTATTTTTTGGTATGCAGACCTGATTATCTGTTTTCGCAGGCGGCAACCACAATAATTATCAATTATCAAGTCACTTTAAAGGGACAGATTCGACATTTTCGGGGGTTGATTTGGATCTTGAATATATTTTATAAATAGTCTTCAGAAATATTGGAAATGTACGAAAATCGTAAAATTCCTTTACAAATACTTCAAACTAGGAATTTTACTAATTCTTTCTATATTTGTCTTTTCTATAAATCACGGGTCGTCTTTTTAACTTTAACACGCGGATTCTAGACACACTTGGATTTTGAGGCTCAAATTTAGCTTAGCTAAAAAAATCCAGTTTCTGGACTAAGGTACGATTGGTAAAAACATGGGGAGGCCGAGGTCAGAGGAACCAAGCCAACTGCTGATTTTTTTGGCATACAATAATTCTGTCAACGGAACGTCTGAAACCACTAATTTATCAATACAAATGGTATTTGCAAACCCGAAGCCCCACATCTCTAATGTTCTTCACACGTTGATAAACCATTGATCCTTGTATTCCAATATGATATACGTACCTGTGATCGTAGATGAGAAGGCATATAATGCATAACAAGGTGGCCAAATTCATGAACCAGTGTATTTTGATGATGGTGGTTTTTATCAGCCGAATCACATATAACATTATCGTCCACCACGCAGGATATAGAAGATGTCAGACCGCCCAGTGTCTCGTATTTTCTACCATCAAACGTACAAGTATGAGCACAACTTCCGCTGCATTTATCTGTGAAAGAAAAACTATCTGACAGAATTCCAGAAGATCCTTTGTGAAATAATTGTCGAAAACCCCACTTCATTAACGTGAATCACGAAAAATCATGCTAACCTGAACCAAAAGAGTCAATGGTTTGAATCTAATAAATAAAAGAACTGCCCTAAGAGATGACCCAGTAAAACAAATTCTTAGTCATAGTAAACAATGGTACGAATATGAGCAGAGCCTATTACTAGTAGGTGTTGTTAAAAGAACATACATAACAGACGAAAATAAAGGCAGAGTTACTTACGATGACAATCGGCTGTATCTCTAAGATTTGAAAATTCAGGGTAAACGGTCAGTCCTTCCTTAGCAGAGAAAATACCAACACCATGAGACTTGGACAAACCATTAAACACATCTGCTGGCATATGTTTTACCATTCTGCTTACAATCAAAGCTGCCTGAAAAAATAAATGGTTAGAGAAATATACCCATGGCCATCATCAGTGTGGAATACGGTGGAGATCGTGTGTTGGTTTAGAAACGTAGCTCTGAAAATGCGCTTTTGGGTATGAATGAATCGAAAAAATGAGATTAGATGAAATTGAGTTTAACAGCTCCTGCTCGGGATATTAAAGACAGACAAAGCCATGCAGTTTGCAATGAATAAATTTTGCCAGGACAGCGAAGCTCTTTCCATAAATAAACCAATGATCCGAAGCGCAGAACGAAACCCGAAATCCATAACAACATATTCACATTAGCAGCAACTAATTAACGATACCCGTTTAGCTATTTCACTGTTGGTGAGATTTTCCTCATTTCACACACCTTGGTGTAGTCGGTGAAGTTAAGTCATGGCCACCTGACAGGAACAACAATCTACATAAACCATGAACATTTTAAAATTGCCTCGCAAACGACAATCCGACTTGCTACCGTCTGAGCTATTCCACTGTTGCCCGTTGGTAAAATTTCCCTCTTTGTACAGTCAAGTGCATTCTTGGTCGCCTGATAGTGGTAAACATACGAAGCTACACTTTCAATGAACGTACCTTTTCTAGTGCTGTAGCCTGACAGTTGGTAGTAGCTGATATAGTCACCCAGTATCCTGTTGATTTGGTATCACGTATTACCCCAGCGTTATTCACATATTTATGCTTAAAAGATGCTCTGGTGTAAAATTTCGGCTCGTTTTGGAGTGGTGGTACCCTAAAATTAAGACATAGACATTATCCCAGATCCTTAGCGTTTCGTACTTGTTTAATGGGTTTGCTAAGTTATAGTTTAAATATTGGAAATTATACCACCAGATTCCGACCAGCTGTTCTGATGATGAACCAAATCTGATTAAAAAGCAGATCTGAATGTAATGTTTTAATGTTCTTTCCTGTAGGTTTTTACACATGTTATCTATGATCTGATGAGACGTTTCTTTAAATCGTGTTCCCGTCATATCTATTGGCATCAGTGGTGGCCCATGGCCCAAAATTTCAATTTGTTTTAATTGAAATGTGCTCTTTTGTATTGTAAAAATATAATAATGTTGCAAGAATACTCTTTCCAATTGCATAAAATACAGGATTTAAGCTCCTTTATTTATAAAAATTCCTCCTTGACCCCCGTATATAATAAATTCAAATCAATTGGCAGTGGCCCCTCCCAATCAAAAATACTGCAGCTGCATTATTGACAGTCTTCTTCAGTCATTGAAGAAACTCTGTCCTGTTTCAAGGTGATAGATATTAACTGTCTTAACTTTTAGAAACTTACTGTATACCAGCCAAATCATCTTCTGATGGGGGTTCCAAGGCTATACAACTCACAAAAAATAAAGCTGAAATAATTTGGAAATTAAAACCTAATTAGATAACCACTTTGGGAGTAAACATTACGTGGCCAACAGGTTGAGTAATCTCTGTGGTTTTTTTTTTGGGTCAAAAATGACAGTAATTATATCTCACGAACTATAGTCTTATATCAGCAGGGGGATCTTTATTTTGAAGAGGAATATATGTAGCCGATCACTCTTCAAATTCAGAATCCAATGATAAACAAACTGGTGGAATTTTTAATCTTTATGCGACATTGAGGGGTTGAGATCACATTAAATAATGGAGCACTACGTGTTCAATATAACTCAGGGGTAGTATACCTTATAACTGTATACTGTCATTGAATGATATTTAATGATAGAATTATTATACTTACCAAAGCTGACGATTGTAATGGTACCCATGTCTAGTTTTGGTCAGATTTAAGATTACATAAGTTTATCTTATCTTATAGAACCATGGACTACTAACTAGGTTACAAGTGGGTATATTCTACTGATAATCACCAACAGATTCTACTATTGTTCTCTAATACTATCACTCGATTGTTGATTTTACATTCAAGTAAAGGCTGCATTCAGTCTCCAGATCTTTGTAGCGGCGGTTCCCGTGGGGATTCAGGGCATTTACATCTATGGTCATACAACACACTACAATAATTTATTTAGAATCTTATCTGGTATTTCACAAGATGCCCCACAGATAGTGTTAGATTGTGAAAGGTTGTAGATGATATAATTGGCAGGTATAATAAACTGCCTATAAAGTTTATGAATGTTATTTTTTTTTTTAATTTTTACATCCCACTACAATCAATAGTGTATTACGTCTTAAACCCCTCATCATTATTGGCGATATAATTTATTGAAGCGTCTCCCGAGACTGGCATTCGTACCATTGTTTACTCTGACTAAGAATTTGTTTTACTGGGTCATCTCTTAGGGCAGTTCTTTTATTTATTAGATTCAAACCATTGACTCTTTTGGTTCAGGTTAGCGTGATTTTTCGGGATTCACGTTAATGAAGTGGGGTTTTCGGGGGTTTTCGGCAATTATTTCACTAAAGAACCTTCTGGAATTATGTCAGATAGTTTTTCTTTCCCAGATAAATGCAGCGGAAGTTGTGCTCATACTTGTACGTTTGATGGTAGAAAATACGAGACACTAGGCGGTCTGACATCTTCTATATCCTGCGTGGTGGACGATAATCTTATATGTGATTCGGCTGATAAAAACCACCATCATCAAAATACACTGGTTCATGAATTTGGCCACCTTGTTATGCATTATATGCCTTCTCATCTACGATCACAGGTACGTATATCATATTGGAATACAAGGATCAATGGTTTATCAACGTGTGAAGAACATTAGAGATGTGGGGCTTCGGGTTTGCAAATACCATTTGTATTGATAAATTAGTGGTTTCAGACGTTCCGTTGACAGAATTATTGTATGCCAAAAAATTCAGCAGTTGGCTTGGTTCCTCTGGCCTCGGCCTTAAAGGGACGGGTTCCCCATGTTTTTACCAATCGTACCTTAGTCCAGTTACTGGAATTTTTTAGCTAAGCTAAATTTGAGCCTCAAAATCCAAGTGTGTCTAGAATCATCCGCGTGTTAAAGTTAAAAAGACCACCCGTGATTTATAGAAAAGACAAATATAGAAAGAATTAGTAAAATTCCTAGTTTGAAGTATTTGTAAAGGAATTTTACGATTTTCGTACATTTCCAATATTTCTGAAGATTATTTATAAAATATATTCAAGTACCAAATCAACCCCCGAAAATATCTTACATTTGATAATTGATAATTATTGTGGTTG